TAATTAGTGGCACTTGTCAGCGTATCCACTGTTAGCGTAACACACCCGCTTTAAGGACACTGACTGCTATTCAATCTATAACAGTGAAAAAGATTATTTTTTTTTTAAATCCAAACTATTGTGACACCAGATCTAATTAGTGGCACTTGTCAGCGTATCCACTGTTAGCGTAACACACCCGCTTTAAGCATACTGACTGCTATTCAATCTAATACAGTAAAAAAAGTTTTTTGTTTTTAAATCCAAACTATTGTGACACCAGATCTAATTAGTGGCACTTGTCAGCGTATCCACTGTTAGCGTAACACACCTGCTTTAAGGACACTGACTGCTGTTCAATCTATAACAGTGAAAAAAGATTATTTTTTTTAAATCCAAAACTATTGTGACACTACAGATCTACTATGGCACTCTGTCAGCTGCATCCACCGTTGGGGCCTAACACACCCGCTTTTAAGGATACTGATCTGCTATTCAATCTATAACAGTAAAAAAGTTTTGTTTTAAATCCAAACTATTGTGACACCAGATCTAATTAGTGGCACTTGTCAGCCGCATCCACCGTTACGAACACACCTGCTTTAAGGACACTGACTGCTATTCAATCTATAACAGTGAAAAAAGTTTTTGTTTTTAAATCCAAGCTATTGTGACAATTCAGATCTAATTAGTGGCACTTGTCAGCATCCACTGTTAGCCAACACACCCGGCTACTTTAAGGACACTGACTGCTATTCAATCTATAACAGTGAAAAAAGTTTTTTGTTTTTAAATCCAAGCTATTGTGACACCAGATGTATTTGGTGGCACTGACTGGGGAAATGGGCACAGTATGCACTGTGAGCCTGACACAGAAGCTGGCAGCAGTGGCAGACAACTGACTGCTATTCAATCTATAACAGTGAAAAAAGTTTTTTGTTTTTAAATCCAAGCTATTGTGACACCAGATGTAATTGGTGGCACTGACTGGGGAAATGGGCACTGTGAGCCTGACACAGAAGCTGGCAGCAGTGGCAGACAACTAAGTGCATTTACATTAGATAGAAAAAAAAAATCCAAAAAAAGCATACCCTTATCCCTAACCTAGCTATGCTTTTCCCTATCTTATGAACAGCAGCTACACTTTCCCTCCTCTTACTAAGCATGCAGCTTGAGAATGAATCTAAAATGGATGCTGTCCAGTAGGTGGGAGGGTCTGCTAGGGAGGCTGTGCTGCTAATTGGCTGGAATGTGTCTGCTGACTGTGAGGTACAGGGTCAAAGTTTACTCAATGATGACGAATAGGGGGCGGGTCGAACCGCGCATATGTTCGCACGCCGTGGCGAACGCGAACATGCTATGTTCGCCAGGAACCGTTCGCCGGCGAACCGTTCGGTACATCACTACTTAACATCGGTGGTTGTAAAAAAATTTGAAGGGCTTTTGAGGCATAATATTCAGGAATTAATTTTAAACAACAATATCATTTGTAGGAAACAACATGGTTTTACAGTAGACAGGTCATGCCAAACTAACTTG